TATTTACTCATTTCTTAATAACTTCTTCATGAGACTTTTTCATCCAGCAAACATTTGTTAAGCAATCTACTTGACTGAAGATCCTGTGTTAGATACACTACATTGGCCAGTTTCATCTTGTTGCATCATTCCTTCTCTCAAAACATCTAGATTTATTTAGCACTAACTTCCTTTATTTATTTATTTATTTATTATTATTATTTTTGAGATGGAATCTTGCAGGGCTGAAGTGCAGGGGCATGATCCCAGCTCACTGCAACCACGCTCGCTACGTGCGGGCCGAAACCCCATCTCTACTAAAAATACAAAAAATTAGCTGAGCATGGTGGCATATGCCTGTAATCCCAGTTACTCAGGAGGCTGAGGCAAGAGAATGGTTTGAACCCAGGAGGCAGTGGTTGCAGTGAGCTGGGATCATGCCACTGCACTTCAGCCTGCAAGATTCCATCTCAAAAAAAAATAATAATAAATAAATAAATAAATAAAGGAAGTTAGTGCTAAATAAATCTAGATGTTTTGAAAGGAATGATGCAACAAGATGAAACTGAGCCAAGTGTAGTATCTAACACAGGATCTTCAGTCAAGTAGATGCTTAACAAATGTTTGCTGGATGAAAAAGTTCATGAAGAAGTTATTAAGAAATGAGTAAATTACAACCCCATTACATCGCTAAAAAACAAAATGTTCAATCATATTTATAGCACTTTCATATACATTCTCTCACATATCATCCCATGAGATAACAGGACAAACATTATCATCCCCACTTTATAGATGAGAAAGTTGAAGCTAGACACATTGCAGAGATCGTCAGAGACGGGGGACGAATAAAACCTGGTTCCCCTGATCCTTCACATAACACTTTTCTCCCCAATACACACATGGCTTCTTCTGGGTTTCGGGGGTGAAGATAATTACATTTTGGGCTCACATGAATCATGTTTTCTCTTTAAAATCCTTTACAAAACCCCATCCTTTAACACATGATACTTTATTTAACTGTCTGCATCCTTCACTACACTGTAAGCTGCTTGAGGGCAGGAGCAACATCTGTCCTGTTCACCACCGCATTCTATAACACAGCACAGTGCCTAGCACTTAGTCAATATTAGTTGCATCTTTTTCCACTTGAAATGCAAGAAGAGTTCCCAAGGATGAGATTCTCAAGGATGGGGTGATGGTCCTATAATGACCTAAGATGCCAACTTTGCATGACCTCCCTCCTCATATATTTTAGGGAGGAAAGGTGGTAGTTTGCAGAGGTGGGGCAGGGGAGAGGGGCATAAAATAATATATTTTCAGCTCAGCATCTGGGGATACTCTCAGATCTCGGTGCCCAGCCCAGCTTCCTTCAAAATGTCTACTGTTCATGAAATCCTGTGCAAGTTCAGCTTGGAGGGTGAACACTCTACACCCCTAAGTGCATATGGGTCAGTCAAAGCCTACACCAACTTTGATGCTGAACAGGATACTTTGAACACTGAAATGGCCATCAAGACCAAAGGTGTGGATGAGATCACCACTCTCAACATTTTGACTAACCACAGCAATGCACAGAGACAGGATATTGCCTTCACCTGCCAGAGAAGGACCAAAAAGGAACTTGCATCAGCACTGAAGTCAGCCTTATCTGGCCACCTAGATAGTGGCTTTGGGCCTATTAAAGACACCTGCTCAGTATGACGCTTCTGAGCTAAAAGCTTCCATGAAGGGGCTGGGAACCAACGAGGACTCCCTCATTGAGATCATCTGCTGGAAAACCAACCAGGAGCTGCAGGAAATTAACAGAGTCTAAAGGAAATGTACAAGACTGATCTGGAGAAGGACATTATTTCAGACACATCTGGTGACTTCTGCAAGTCACCAGATGCGTTGCCCTAGCAAACGGTAGAAGAGCAGAAGATGGCTCTGTCATTGATTATGAACTGATTGACCAAAATGCCCGGGATCTCTATGACACTGGGGTGAAGAGGAAAGGAACTGATGTTCCCAAGTGGATCACCATCATGACCAAGCAGAGCATGTCCCACCTCCAGAAAGTATTTGATAGGTACAAGAGCTACAGCCCTTATGACATGTTGGAGAGCATCAAGAAAGAGGTTAATGGAGACCAAGAAAATGCTTTCCTGAAGCTGGTCCAGTGTATTCAGAACAAGCCCCTGTATTTTGCTGACTGGCTGTATCACTCCATGAAGGGCAAGGGGACTCGAGATAAAGGTACTGATCAGAATCATGGTCTCCCACAATGAAGTGGACATGTTGAAAATTAGGTCTGAATTCAAGAGAAAGTACAGCAAGTCCCTGTACTATTACATCCAGCAAGACACTAAGGGTGCTGTACCTGTGTGTTGGAGATGGCTGAAGCCCAACACAGCATCAGCATCCAGAAATGATGCTCCCCATGCTTCCAGCTAACAGGTCCAGAAAACCAGCTTGTGACTAACAGTCCCTGTGGCTGTTCCTGTGAGGATGATATTAGCATTGCCCCCAACCTCATTTTAGTTGCCTAAGCAGTGCCTGGCTTTCCTGTCTAGTTTCTCCTGTAAGCCAAAGAAATGAACATTCCCAGGAGTTGGAAGTGAAGTCTATGATGTGAAACACTTTGCCTCCTGTGTACTGTGTTATAAACAGATTAATAAACTGAATCTGTACTTTAGAAACAAGTTAAAAATATATACTTTTTTTCCTGTAAAGTCTCTGGATTCATGCTAAGCAATTTTATACATCCATTTTAAGTTACACTGTTCTAGAGTAAAGTGTAAATAAAGTGAGTGTCTCAGCAACTCATTAAGGTATGGTATATAATGAATTAAACAATTTGAGACTATTTACCTGTAATTCTTTCACTCTCTCCCACATCATCTGACTTCCCCTTTGTTCAATGACTCTTTTTAGTATAATAGCTGATAAAACTAGCTCATGGCTTCTAATCAGCAAACTCTTTAATAGTCAAGGAAATATAATCCCTATGTTTTAAATCATCATCAACAGATGCTCTAAACTATTTCTCTAAACTCATTCAGGATTGTTTCCTAATACAGTATTAGAGTAATGTAATAACTCACTCACAGTGGGCATACAATTAAGTTTTCAAGCATGAGAAGCATCAAATATCTCAACTTTGGAAAACCACAGTAGTTAAAGGGCATTTTCAATGAAGAGGAATCATTGTGCAATTTAAAAGGCAGGGGCTTCACTTCTCTAAGCTTCCATTTCTTCAACAGTAAGGATAATTGTATGTTGTCCTAGTAACGTGGCTCTTGGCAGGGCAAGGGCTGGGAGACTCGGAGGACAGGGGAGCTCTGATTTGTAGCATTTCCCATTTCTATAGTGTAAATGCTTTCATCAAGGCCAATTGCAAGCTACCAACATGAAGTCACTGAATAAGTCAGTATGGCTTGGCTCCAGCATAACAAATATGATACTGTAGGGTTATTGGGAATGGAAAGTATATTGTATCTATGAAGAATTGTAAGTAGCACAATGCCTGGTTCAGAGAATGCCTCTTCCTTTCTCCTGCTTCCATTCCCCATCTATTCCTTCCTGAATGACAACACTTATCTTTGACATTTCACTGAAACTCATGATTTGAAGTAACTTCTCTATACTTTTCGCTTCCAAATTGATGTCTCTAGCTCTGACTTCTTTGCTGAGCTCCAAACCTATACTGCAAACTGCCTACTATACACTTTAACCTGGATGATCAAAACTGAAACATATATGCTCTTCCTCTTAGCTTCCTTTTCTTGGTTAATAATGATAATGACAGTAGTACTCAATATTTATTGAGTCCTTACCATGTGCCTGCACTGTTCTAAGCCTTTACATGCATTATTTTAATCCTCACCGTATGTGGTATACATTAATATCATTCCCATTTTACAGATAAACTAAGGCACAGAGAGTTCCCCTAAGTCATATGGCTAATAATAGCAGGCTGGGATTCAAACTGGGCAATTAAACTTTTTTTTTTTTTTTTTTTTTTTTGAGATGGAGTCTTGTTCTGTCACCCAGGCTGGAGTGCAATGGCATGATCTCGGCTCACTGCAACCTCTACCTCTTGGGTTCGAGCGATTCTTCAATCTCCTGAGTAGCTGGGATTACAGGCACCTACCACCACACCCGGCTAATTTTTGTGTTTTTAGTAGAGACAGGGTTTCACCATGTTGGTCAGGCTGGTCTCAAACTCCTGACCTCGTGACCCGCCCGCCTCAGCCTCCCAAAGTGCTGGGATTACAGGCATGAGCAATTAAACTTTTGGTCTCTGCTATAGTTTGAATGGGTCCCCCCCAAAAAGTTCCGGTTATTAGAACCTTAATTCCCAATGTGGTAATGTTGGGAGGTCAGGTTTTTAAGGGGTTATTGGGTTGTGAGGGCAGAGCCCTCATGAATAGATCAATAGCATTTTGGAGGGGTGAGTTCTCACAAGAATGAATTGTTTTAAAAGGGAGCTAAGCTTGCTCTTGTGGTCTCTTTTGCATTTGCTCACTTATCCTTCAGTTTTTCCACCATATTATGATGCAGTACAAAAGCCCTAGCCAGAAGCTGTCACCATGCCTCTGGACTTCACAACCTCCAGAACCACAAGCCAAATAAACTTCTTTCCTTTATAAATTAACCAGTCTCAGGTATTCTGTTACAGCAACAGAAAATGGACTGAGACAAGCTCTTTATCTACCATGTTTCTAACTAATTATGTTAACTATTAGTTCTAGACTACAACTATGAATACACTAACTAGTACTACCTACTTTGCCTCTCTAAAATACTATTTAGTGCCAAGCATTGTGCCAAGCTTTTTTTGCTGTTAATTAATTTAATCCGCAAAACAAAGGAAACTTTGTAACTTTATAAAAGAAACTGAGGCACTGAGAGGCTAAGCAACTTATCAAAAATTGCACAGATAGAAAAGTACCAGTGTTGGGGCAGTCTGGCTTCGAAGTTCACAGCCTTAACTATCTACTCTACTGCATCACTTCCCTACAGCACTCAAGTCTAACAGCTGGGAGTTTACATTGTTCACCAAATTTCTCTCTCTCCTTCCAAAGCATTTTATAAACATACTGTCTTCTCTCTACTCCATCACATCACTCTTGATTCTGGCACTTATAATAGCTCATGTGGACTACTGCAAAAGCTTCTTAATCATCTCCCTGCTTCCTGGGAAACATTTCCAATAGATCTCCTATAATGCCTCCAGGTTCTCTGGAAAGTAAATATCTTAGTAAGTCACTACACTACATTACACCATTCAAAGCCTTCTCACCACCTATATAATAACTATGGTTTCCAAACCTTAGCATGTATAGGTATCACTGGAGCTTGCAGAATGCAGATCTTTGGTCCATCTCATGAGATTCTAATTCTGTAAGTGCAGTTTAGAATTCAGAAATTTTAAATTATACCAGGCACCTCAAGGCATTCTTGTGCATGTGTTTTATGGCCACACTTTGAGGAACACAGGTTCAGAGAACAAAGTCCCAGCTCCTTATCAAGGAAAGAAGCTCATCTCTGCTTGTATCTCATGTCATTTGATGCTCCAAGATAATGGAATCATTTACAGTTCCTCAAACTACTCAGTTTCTCACTTTCATGTCTTTGTACCTGCTTTCCCTTCCTCTAAAACACTCTTTTCCTCCTTCCATCTGATAAATTCTTTCTCTTTCAAACCCAGCTTAAATTTAAATGTTATCTCAAGGGGCCAGGCATGGTGGCTTATCCCTGTAATCTCAGCACTTTAGGAGGCTAAGGAGGGCAGATCACTTGAGGCCAGGAGTTCAAGACCAGCCTGGTCAACATGGTGAAACCTCATCTCTACTGAAAATACAAAAATCAGCCAGGTGTGGTGGTACATGCCTGTAGCCCTAGCTACTTGGGAGGCTGAGGCAGGAGAATTACTTGAACCCAGGAGGTGGAGATTGCAGCAAGCTGAGATCGTGCCACTGCACTTCAGCCTGGGCAGCAGAGCAAGACACTGTCTCAAAAAAAAAAAACAAAAAGACAGAAAAAAAAAAAGTTATCTCTAGGAACCTTCCTTAACTTCCTTCCACATGCCACACATGCCAGCCTACTCCCCCCACCATCCTGACTTCTGTGCCTTGATTTATACTGATGTCGCTACATCTTTTACAAGTCTGTCCCCTTCTAAACTGTGGCCTCCTCTAGATCCGAGTAAGCATCTCATCATCTTTTATAAGGACGACCTAGCATAGAAGGTGCTCAGACAGCAGTCACATCCAACTAAGGGGCTGGATAATGAATGGGCAAATATGAAAATCTCAGTTGAAATTACCCCAAAAAATATAAAGGTATTGCCCAGAAAATGATGAATGTCATGAATCTATAAAATTAATACATGTATTTAGGGTTGTTGTATAAACACCAATACATGTTTTATGAAAACAATGTATCTTTAAGCATAAAATCAGTGCTACAAAAAGCTTAGTATGTATATTACCGGGTAAAAAGCAGAATCACAGTTGCCATCTCACATGTGTATGTGATTAGCTTTGAATGATTTCTGGATTATATGTGGCAGGCTTCAACACATGCACAAAATGATTATTCAATTCATAAATGTTCTATTATCACATACCTAACAGCACAAAGGCACAATTGTAGAAGAAAGTTGAACTCTTTTTTTTTTTGAGACGGAGTCTCGCTCTGTCACCCAGGCTGGAGTACACTGGCAAGATCTCAGCTCACTGCCATCTCCGCCTCCTGGGTTCCAGCAATTCTTCTGCTTCAGTCTCCCAGGTAGCTGGGATTACAGGTGCATGCCACCATGCCTGCCTGATTTTTATATATATATTTTTTACTAGAGATGGGGCTTCACCATGTTGGCCAAGCTGGTCTCAAACTGCTGACCTCAGGTGGTCCGCCCACCACAGCCTCCCAAAGTGCTAGGATTACAGGCATGAGCCACCACGTCCAGCCAAAAGTTGAACTGTTTTAATTATAACATAAACTCTACTGATTTGTAGTCAAAGGTACGAATGTTGAAAAGCCAAGTTCTTAGGCCAGTGCTGTTTGATATTGCCTAGCATAGTCCCATGCGTGTGAATATGTATGAATGATTATCCCTGCAGCTGAATGCATTGTCACCTGATCTGTGTGTTCCTGGGCCTCCAAACCAGAGCCTGACAGTGGTGAGAGGGAAGTTAAATCATAAGGTAGTTTACAACTTATCCTATTCAAATCAGCAAAGTACTTATGCAAAGCATTCTTCTGGGTACTTTTTGGGAATTATATGTGACTAAAGACACCATCCTTGACCTCAAGGAATTTACCATCTTGGGTAATAAGACCCAGGCACAAGTAATAATAATCAAAGTGGATTCTGAAAGAGAAAGTGGTTTTTGAGGCAAGGATAAAATTGGGAAAAGAATTCATGGACAAAGGTGTGTGACAGCACAGAGGGCGTTCAAGCAGCCTGCACTGCTGATTTGTCCAACCTCATTACTTTTCATTCCTTTGAACTTTTTCACCCGATATGGGATGTGTCTTCAAAATAACAATCATGTCCTCTCCTCTTCACCTTTCTGTACCTCTTCACACTGGTCCCTTTGCCTGGGACACCAATTCTGCCTGCCAACCTGGGTAAGTCCTACCCATCATTAAAGGCCCGGTTTAAATTCCTTCCCATTTCTACAGCTTACCATCACCTATCTCATGCTGTTAGTTGCTCATACATCTATCATCCCAAACCGTCAGCTGAAGAGGGCGACAGAGATGTCATTTCTTTCATCTCTATATTCCCATCACCTAGAATAATGCCTGGCAGGCACTAGGTGCCCTAGAAATGTTTTTTGAGGTATATTATTGCATAGTGAGTGTTGTCTTTTGACTAGATACTGGATTTGAATGTAAAGTTAAAGAGGAATGCAGGAAAAAAAAATCGACAACAACAATGTAGGAATGAATTTAACCAAGGAGGTAAAGGATCTGTACACAGAAAACTATAAGACATTGATGAAAAAAATTGAAGACAACCCAAATAAATAAAAAGATGGCTCATATTCATAGATTGGAAGAATATTAACAAAATGCCCATACCCTCAAGTGATCTAAAATGCAACTGCTATCAAAATATCAATGACATTTTTCACAGAAATAGAAAAAGCAATCCTAAAATTCATATGGAACCACAAAAACTCCCAAATAGCCAAAGCAATGTTGAGCCAAAAGAACAAAGCTGGAGGCATCATACCATCTTATTTCAAAATCGACTTCAAAGCTATAGTAATCAAAACAGCATGGTACTAGCATAAAAACATAGACTGTTGGTACAGAATAGACAGCTCAGAAATAAATCCACACATTTACAGTTGATTTTCAACAAAGATGCCAAGAGCACACAATGAGGAAAGATCAGTCTCTTCAATAAATGGTGCTAGGAAAACTGGATATCTACATGCAGAAGAATGAAATCAGACTTTCATCTCACACCATATACAAAAATCAACTCAAACTGGATTAGAGACTTAAACATAACACCTGAAACTGTAAAACCACTAGCAGAAAACATAGGGAAAAACTCCATGACACTGTTCTGGGCAATGACTTTTTGAATATGAATGCAAAAGCACAGGCAACAAAAGCAAAAATGGACACATAGAATTACATCAAACTAAAGAGCTGTACAGCAAAGGATCACCAGAGTGAAGAGACAGCCTACAGAATGGGAGAATATTACATCTTGATAAGAGGTTAATATCCAAAATACACAAGGAATTCAAACAACTCAATAGAAAGAAAAAAAATAGCCTGATTTTAAAATAGGCAAAGGTTGGCTGGGTGTGGTGGTGCCTGCCTATAGTTCCAGCTACTCCAGAGGTTGAGATGGGAGAACTGCTTGACCCCATTGAGCCCAGAGTTTGAATTCAGCCTGGGCAACAAGGTGAGACCCTATGTCTATTTTTTTTTTTTTTTTTTTTGAGACAGAGTCTTGCTCTGTCACTTAGGCTGGAATGCAGTGGTGT